GAATTAAAAAAGAAACCTAAATATCATATGATTAAATCAGTCGTAAGGAACTCTTACATTTGGTATTTCCAAAGATAATTAATTAGATACTTTAAATAAACATTTTATAATTATAATAAATAAATATATATTAAAAACACATTTTGACAAGAAATTATCTTATAATATAAAGTTTGATGTTTGAATTTTTGTAATAACAAAATTATGAAATAAATGTGTCAAGTTAATAGATTAGTTTTATGTATATGTAAAAATTTGTTTACCAATTATATTTGATTCATATCAAACAAGTCTTATTAGCTAAAGAAAGTAAATATAAAAAATATTAATTTTACTTGGTTCAGTCAATAAAACTATAAAATGAAACCAATAAAGAACTGAGAATGTAAAGTTTCTATTTTGAGTCAAAATCTGAAAAAAAAAAATCAAATGTAAACTTTCTATTTGTATTTTTCACAACAAACAAAAAACTTAAACTATTACGTCATGCATTATGTTTTAAATTTTATTTATTAGTTTTACCATTAAATATATACTGAAAAGTTTGAAATTTAAATTGGTGTGTAGAAAAAAAAATTATAATGAACTGTTTTTAAGTTATTCAAAATTCAAAAAATCATGAACTAAATATTTAAGAATAAAAAAATATGATCTGCTTTAGTACAGAGGTGATCCAATTTAATTTTACATTCATTATTTATTTTGTATATCTAAAAAATACTATCATATAGTGAACTAATTGATAAGTAGTATATGTTTTGCAATTAGGTTGATCTAAACAAATATTTAGCTATATCTAATAAATCCATTATAACTAAAAATTAATAATTATGTAAGAATGTGATTTCTTCTACTAAATATATGTTTAAAACATTGTTTAGAACTACATCACTATATAAAATAATTCATTAAGTTTGAATGTATATATATATCAACGTATATCTTGTTTTTCTCCATCAAAGGTGTATCTGCCTCTAATTCTAGCACTTTTCTATAGCTCTTTTAGAAATAGCTAAATAATTATGTTGATTTACCAATGAATGCATTGCTGTTAGAAAAATTTACCGACTACATTCTATGAACCCAACACTCTTTTCAGCTTGTAGACTGAGTTTCTCTAATGAGCATCACGCTATTCCGAGACACTTGTCATACTAATAATACATATTACCAAGTGATATTTACTCATATTTTATCCTTATTTATACAAAACCAGAAATTAATTTGCAATATTTTACTAATACTTAAGTTGCTCTTACTCAAATATGCTTAGTTTGTAAATTTTTCTAGATAAATGGTAGAAAAAGGCATTTTAATGATATATGTAGCTCAAACAATTATTTTTACTATTTTCACATGCATCATCATATTCTAGAAACCTAATTATTTAGTCAGGTTTTGATTTTTACTAACTTATTTTGTAGATTATTGATAGCTTGCTATATTAGAGCATTTTAGGCTGCATTTCATGCATTCCTTGTTTTTGCATGATAGTTTAGCATTTTAGTCTCATTTTCACTTAAAATCAATATTATATGCAATTAGTTTAGGAATGCATACATTTGTATATATGTGCATGTTTGTGGTGATTTTCAGGTGTTTATGGAGGTTCTTGGAGTTGGGAAGGAGATAAAAGCAGCTCATGTTCGAAGAGGATTTTAAATAAGGAGCTTTTGCAAAGTCAGGTCCCATATCGAGCAGAACCTCTGTAGAGTGTGCTCGATGTAAGCCGCAAGATGCGAGGAAGAGGATCGGTTAGAGAAGTCCAAGCCTTTGGTCTGCATTGAGGTCCAGCATCGAGCAGGGAACCCGATACGCGCTGCACGAGCCATATCGTGGTTGTACATCGAGCAGAACACCATCCGTACAACCTCGATGCAACATGTTCGCGCGTTGACCATCTGATTTTTTGTTGACCTTATCTTGTTAAGAAGTTCCCTACTATAAAAGGGAAGCCACAAAACATTGTCTTTACCCTATCTTATGCTTTCTATCAAAAACTCTCTCTTTTCATCTTGTTCTGGCACCTTCAAGGGCAATTTGCTCTAGAATCCTTTTTTTTTAAATAAAGTTTGCACTTTTATGGTTTAATCTTATCTCTTGATATTTATTCTAGCACCCTGGTAGTTTAGATTTCTTATCTTTGCATTTTAATATCATCTGATCATGTTTAACTCTAACCAAATGGGATTAAAAAATTGTTACTGAGTAGTCTACCTTAGATTTAGGGTTCTATGTAGGGAAAGTGGTGATTAAGATGTGATTAAGGGGTGATTAGGCTAGATTAGTTTGTTCTCTGTTGTCTCCTTCTCTTGCAAAGAGGTTATTGTTCATAAAGCTTGCTCCTTTTAATTCAATATGGTATTGATTGATGCATATGGTTCACTTGATGTCTTGATATCTCATTTCTATGCATGGTTCGCTTATTTGGCTTGATAGTTTAGCTTGGTCTATGTTTCTTTTGTTCAGTGACACCAAAGTGATAGTTCACCTTGCTAGATGATTCGCTTAGGGCTAGATAGTGTTGGTTTTGTGATTCTTGCATGATGGTTAGATAGTATGCATTGAAAGATCTTGCCTTTATTTGATTCCTCTTTATTGCTTAGCATTGTTAGGATTTCGCAAATGTGTGCTTAAGTCCATATTCTTGATTAGTGCTTAGCTAAATAGGTCTCTATATGGTTCACAAGATTGATAGGTTGATCTGAATTCTTGCTTGAGTGAGAGAATGTTTGCATGTTTAGTGCTTCTCTCAGGCTATAATGGTTCTGATCTTTATGCTCATGGTTGAAGAATACACTATCACAAGTGGGTTTGACACTTCAATCTTATTGAATATGAATTGCTTATTGACACCAAGCTGGTTCCTTTTAGATACTTTGTCTAGGAGTACAACATTGAGAATTGCTCACTTATGAATGCTTGATGTTTGCCTCTGTTAGAAATCCCCTTTGTCACTCTTGAAAACCACTATCCCACAATTGCTTAAAACCTTGAGTCTTGCTTTTTATTAACTGTCTTAAGATCATCTTGCTTAGTATTGCTTAAGTTGCCTTTCTCATTTAGTTCTTGCTTAGTTATTGATTTGAGTTCATTGCTTAGTCTTTGTTTGCTTGCATTTGATTTCTGCTTTCTTTTTATTGCATTGTTAAGTTGCTAGAATTACTATTTCATAAACAGAATTCCCGATCTTACTTAGCTTACAACATTGTTTGTATCTCAATCCACAAGTATGTTTGACACCTAAGACTCTATACTACATCTGATTTGGGGATTATGATTACTCTGAAGTCTAAACAAGGGCCTCAAAAATATAAATAACCTTCTCGTCAGTATTATATAACAATCAAATCAATTAAATTTTTCAGTTTTGTTTGCAGCTTATCAGTTTTTCAAGAATTAATAATGAAACTTAAATATCATATGATTAAATCAGTCATAGGGAACTATCATATTTGTTCTTTCCAAAGATAATTAATTAGTACTTTAAGTGAAACATATTGTAACCATAATTAATAAATGTATATGAAAAACACATTTTGGCAGGAAATTATCTTATAATATAAAGTTTGATGTTTGAATTTTCGTAACTAACAAATTTATAAAATAAATGTGTCAAGTTAATAGATTAGTTTTCTGTATGTGTAAAGATTTTTTTACCAATTATATTTGATTAATATCAAAAAAATCTTATTAGCTAAAATAGTAAATATAAAAAATATTAATTTTACTTGGTTCAGTGACTTCAGTTAATAAAACTAAAAAATGAAACCAATAAAGAACTGAGAATGTAAAAAGTTTCTAGTTTGAGTCAAAATCTGAAAAAAAAATTAAAAATGTAAACTTTCTATTTGTATTTTTCATAACAAAAAAAAAATTTAAACTATTATGTCGTGCATTATATTTTTGAATTTTATTTATTTTGTTTTTACCATTAAATGGATACTGAAAAGTTTGCAATTTAAATTGGTGTGTAGAAAACAAAATTATAATGAATTGTTTTCAAGTTATTCAGATTGTAAAAAATCATAAACTAAATAATTAATTTATAAATAAAAAATATGATCTGCTTTAGCACGGAGGTGATCCAATTTAATTATATATCCATTATTTATTTTGTATATATGACAAATACTATCATATAATGAATTAATAGATAAGTAGTATATGTTTTGCAATAATGTTGATCTAAACAAATAGTTAGCTATATCTAATAAATCTATTCAAACTAAAAATGAATAAATATGTAAAAATATGATTTCTTCCACTAGTTATATGTTTAAATCATTGTTTAGAACTACATCACTATATAAAGTTAGTTCATTAAATTTGAACGTATATATATATATATATAAATATATATATCTTGTTCTTCTCCATCAAAGGTGTATCCACCTCTAATTCTACCACTTTTATAGCTTTTTTTGCAGTAACTAAATAATTATGTTGATTTACCAATGAATGCATCGCAATTAGAAAAATTTATCTACTATATTCTATGAATCCAACACTTTTTCTCGGCTTATAGAATGAGTTTCTCTAATAAGCAGCACGCTATTATGAAAAACTTGTTATACTAATAATACATATTACCAAGTGATATTAGTCATATTTTATCCTCATTTATACAAAATCAGAAATCAATTCGCGATATATCACTAATACTTAAGTTGCTCCTATAGAAATATGCTTAATTCTGTAAATTTTTCTAGATAAATGATAGACCAAAAGGTATTTGAATGATATATGTAGCTAAAACAATTATTTTAACCATTTTCACGTGCATCACCATATTCTATAAACCAAGTTATTTAGTCAGGTTTTGATTTTTACTAACTTCTTTGGCAGATTATCATGGTTTAGATCAAAAGAGACTAAGTTTATTGAAGAATTCTTGATAGCGTGAAGAAAATCTGGCTAAAGATGGAGAAAAGAGTGTTGAAGTAAAGACGTATTCCTCAAATTGACATTTTTCTAGTATTCTCTTTTGTATATTTTCTTTAATTGGTAGTCTAAAGATTATATCAGACAAATCAATATAATTTGAATATTTACAAATATTAACCAACTCAGCATAATTTGAATATCTGCAAATATTAAACAATTTAATATAATTTGAATATTTGCAAATATTAAACAATTCAATATAATTTGAATATTTGAGATATATTTTAATATACGTTTTCTGGAGGATAACACTAATATAAATTTGGTTAAACTGTTTTGATATCTCATTGCATAATGCACGTATTTTTACTGTTCATACAAAATAATAAAATTAAAGTCATAAATTTTTCTTCTTTTTTTAATTAGATTGAAAATTTTACTAACTCCCTGAGATCCAATGTTAAAAAAAATTATTTTATTATCTTTGTATTTATATTGGAAAATGCATTGTTTAACAAAGATAAATTCATATTACAATCTATATTGCCTCTACCGTTATGTCAAATATTATTGCAATAAAGATATATCAATACAAAAGACAAGATCTTTGCCTATCAAATGAAGCAACAACAAGTCGGTGTAGCAAAACCAGAATAAATACAGTCACCAAAAGTGTATCGGAGAAACCCTTTTGGTGGATTCACACAATCCTGGTAACATTTTTGGGGTCCATAATTTGATGTACATTGAGAACCACAAACCCTTTTGCTGAAATGTGGACTGTTTGCTGCATGTACACAAAGTAACCACATTATAATATCATAATTGTATCTATATATATTATATATATACACATAAAATTCTAATTAAAAATTAACAACAACACTAAATAAACATATACCTGAAGGCAAGGCGTCGGAACCGAAGAACAAAGAAGCTACCACTATTATTAAGAGAACTAAGCTCATGCAAGTCTTTGATATGGACATAATGTCTTGCAATTGTAGTATCAAACTATGAAATCTGTTAAAATATATAAATGTTTTGAAATTGTATAGATCAGAAAGTAAAAAGCTCTATTTGTTGAACATATCAGGTCTTGTGATTCATTGTTTTTATCATTGATGATTGTATACAAATAAATATTTTGTTGACTGAAAAATATGTTACTACAATTAAATAAAGACTACCAATTATGCAGATATATAAATAATCTTACTACAGTTATATAAAGACTACCAATTTTGTAGAAATATAAATAATCTTCTAGTTAATATTATGTAACAATCAAATTAATTAAATTTTTCAGTTTTGTTTGCAGCTTATCAGTTTTGCAAGAATTGAAAATAAAACTTAAATATTATTTGATTATATCAGTCGTAAGGAACTCTTACATTTAGTATTTTTAAAGATAATTAATTAGCTACTTTAAATGAACGTTTTATAACATAATCAATAAATATATATGAAAAACACATTTTGACAGGAAATTATCTTATGATATAAAGTTTAATGTTTGGATTTTTGTAACTAACAAAATTATGAAATAAACATCTAAATTTAATAGATTAGTTTTTTGTATGTGTAAAAATTTGTTTACCAATTATATTTAGTTCATATCAAAAAAGTCTTATCAGCTAAAGAAAGTAAATATGAAAAATATTAATTTTACTTTGTTCAGTCAATAAAAATGAATCCAATAAATAATTGAGAATGTAAAGTTTCTATTTTGAGTTAAAATCTGAAAAAATGAAAATTTAAAATGTAAACTTTCTTTTTGTATATTTCACAACAAAAGAAAACTTAAAATATTATGTCATGAATTATGTTTTCAATTTTATTTATTTATATTTACCATTAAATGGATACTGAAAAGTTTTTAATTTAAATTAGTGTGTTGAAAACAAAATTATAATGAATTTTTTAAAAGTTATTCAAATTGTAAAAAATCTTAAACTAAATAATCAATTTATGACTAAAAGAAATATGATCTGCTTTAGTACAGAGGTGATCCAATTTATTTTTTTATTCAATTTATATTATGTATATATAAAAAATACTATCATATAATGAACCAATTGATAAGTAGTATATGTTTTGCAATTTGGTTGATGAAAACATTTAGTTAGCTATATCTAATAAATCCATTCAAACTAAAAATGAATAAATATGTAAAAAATATGATTTCTTCCACTAATTATATAATTAAAAACATTGTTTAGAATGACGTCACTATATACTGAAAAGTTTTCAATTTAAATTGGTGTGTTGAAAACAAAATTATAATGAATTTTTTTCAAGTTATTCAAATTGTAAAAAATCTTAAACTAAATAATCAATTTATGACTAAAAGAAATATGATCTGCTTTTGTACAGAGGTGATCCAAATTAATTTTTTATTCAATATATAAAAAATACTATCATATAATGAACCAATTGATAAGTAGTATATGTTTTGCAATTTGGTTGATGTAAACAATTAGTTAGCTATATCTAATAAATCCATTAAAACTAAAAATGAATAAATATGTAAAAAAATGATTTCTTCCACTAATTATATAATTATACATTGTTTAGAATGATGTCACTATTTAAAATAAATTTATTAAATTTGAATATATATATATATATTAACATATATCTTGTTCTTGCTATATCTGTCTCTAATTCTAGCACTTTTTAATAGTATTTTTAGCAATAAATAAATAATTATGTTGATTTACCAATAAATGCATCGCTGTTTGAGAAATTTATCCACTACATTCTATGAATCAAACACTCTTTCACGGCTTTTCAGAATGGGTTTCTTTAATAAGCAGCACGCTATTACGAGAAACTTGTTATACTAATAATACATATTATCAAGTGATATTAGTCATCTTTTATCCTCATTTATACAAAACTAGAAATCAATTAGTGATATATCACTAATACTTAAGTTGCTCCTACACAAATATGCTTAATTCTGTAAATATTTCTAGATAAATAATAGAACAAAAGGCATTTTAATGATATATATAGGTAAAAAAATAATTTTAACCATTTTCACGTGCATCACCATATTCTAAAAAATAATTTATTTGGTCAGGTTTTGATTTTTACTAACTTTTTTAGTAGATGATCATGGTTTATATCAAAAGAGACTAAATTTATTGAAGGATTATTTACTGTGTGTAGAAAAGTTGGCTAAAGATGGAGAAAAGAGTATTGAGGTAAAGACTTATTCCTCAAATCGTTATTTTTCATTATTCTCTTTCCTGTAATTTCCTAAATTAGTAGTCGAAAGATAAAATCAAACAAATAAATATAATTTGAATATTTGTAAATATTAAACAATTCAATATAATTTGATTATTTGAGGTATATTTTAATATACGTTTTCTGGAGGATAACAGTAATATAAATTTGGTTAAACTATTTTGATCTCTCATTGCATAATGCATGTATTTTTATTGTTCACACAAAATAATAAAATTAAAGTCATAAATTTTTCTTCTTTTTTTAATTAGATTGAAACTTGTACTAACTCCCTCAGATCCAATGTTAAAAAAAATTATTTTATTATGTTCGTATTTGTATTGGAAAATGCATTGTTTAATAAAGATAAATTCATATTACAATTTATATTGCCTCTTCCGTTATGTAAAATATTATTGCAATAAAGATATATCAATACAAAAGACAAGATCTATGCCTATCAAATGAAGCAACAACAAGTCGGTGTAGCAAAACCAGAATAAATACAGTCACCAAAAGTGTATCGGAGAAACCCTTTTGGTGGATTCACACAATCCTGGTAACATTTTTGGGGTCCGTAATTTGACGTACATTGAGAACCACAAACCCTTTTGCTGAAATGTGGACTGTTTGCTGCATGTACACAAAGTAACCATATTATAATATCATAATTGTATCTATATGTATTATCTATATACACATAAAATTATAATTAAAAATTAACGACAATACTAAATAAACATATACCTGAAGGCAAGGCGTCAGAACCGAAAAACAAAGAGGCTACCACTATTATTAAGAGAACTAAGCTCATGCAAGTCTTTGATATGGACATAATAACTTGCAATTGTAGTATCAAACTATGAAATCTGTTAAAATATATAAATGTTTTGAAATTGTATAGATCAGAAAGTAAAAAACTATATTTGTTGAACATATGAGGTCTTGTGATTCATTGTTTTTATCATTGATGGATGTATACAAATAAATATTTTGTTGACTGAAAAATATGTTTCTACAATTAAATAAAGACTACCAATTTTGCAGATATATAAATAATTTTACTACAGTTATATAAAGACTACCAATTTTGTAGAAATATAAATAATCTTCTAGTTAATATTATGTAACAATCAAATTAATTAAACTTTTCAGTTTTGTTTGCAGCTTATCAGTTTTGAAAGAATTGAAAATGAAACCGAAATAGCATATGATTAAATCAGTCGTAAGGAACTCTTACATTTAGTATTTTCAAAGATAATTAATTAGCTACTTTAAATGAACGTTTTATAATCATAATCAATATATATATATGAAAAACATATTTTGACAGGAAATTATCTTATAATATAAAGTTTAATGTTTGAATTTTTGTAACTAACAAAATTATGAAATAAACATGTTAAGTTAATAGATTATTTTTTTGTATGTCTAAAAATTTGTTTACCAATAATATTTAGTTCATATCAAACAAGTCTTATCAGCTATAAAAAGTAAAAATAAAAAAGATTAATTTTACTTGATTCAGTCAATAAAAATGAAACAATTAAAGCATTGAGAATGTAAAGTTCCTATTTTGAGTTAAAATCTGAAAAAAATGAAAATTTAAAATGTAAACTTTCTATTTGTATTTTTCACAACAAAAGAAAAATTAAAATATTATGTCATGAATTATGTTTTCAATTTTATTTATTTATATTTACCATTAAATGGATACTGAAAAGTTTTCAATTTAAATTGGTGTGTTGAAAACAAAATTATAATGAATTTTTTTCAAGTTATTCAAATTGTAAAAAATCTTAAACTAAATAATCAATTTATGACTAAAAGAAATATGATCTGCTTTTGTACAGAGGTGATCCAAATTAATTTTTTATTCAATACATATTTTGTATATATAAAAAATACTATCATATAATGAACCAATTGATAAGTAGTATATGTTTTGCAATTTGGTTGATGTAAACAATTAGTTAGCTATATCTAATAAATCTATTAAAACTAAAAATGAATAAATATGTAAAAAAATGATTTCTTCCACTAATTATATAATTAAAAACATTGTTTAGAATGATGTCACTATTTAAAAGAAATTTATTAATTTTGAATATATATATATATATTAACATATATCTTGTTCTTGCAATATATGTCTCTAATCTAGCACTTTTTAATAGTATTTTTAGCAATAAATAAATAATTATGTTGATTTACCAATAAATGCATCGCTGTTTGAGAAATTTATCCACTACATTCTATGAATCAAACACTCTTTCACGGCTTTTCAGAACGGGTTTCTTTAATAAGCAGCACGCTATTACGAGAAACTTGTTATACTAATAATACATATTATCAAGTGATATTAGTCATCTTTTATCCTCATTTATACAAAACTAGAAATCAATTAGTGATATATCACTAATACTTAAGTTGCTCCTACACAAATATGCTTAATTCTGTAAATATTTCTAGATAAATGATAGAACAAAAGGTATTTTAATGATATATATAGGTAAAAAAATAATTTTAACCATTTTCACGTGCATCACTATATTCTAAAAAATAATTTATTTGGTCAGGTTTTGATTTTTACTAACTTCTTTAGTAGATGATCATGGTTTATATCAAAAGAGACTAAATTTATTGAAGGATTATTTACTGTGTGTAGAAAAGTTGGCTAAAGATGGAGAAAAGAGTATTGAGGTAAATACTTATTCCTCAAATCGTTATTTTTTATTATTCTCTTTCCTGTAATTTCCTAAATTAGTAGTCGAAAGATAAAATCAAACAAATAAATATAATTTGAATATTTGTAAATATTAAACAATTTAATATAATTTGAATATTTGAGGTATATTTTAATATACATTTTTGGAGGATAACAGTAATATAAATTTGGTTAAACTATTTTGATCTCTCATTGCATAATGCATGTATTTTTATTGTTCACACAAAATAATAAAATTAAAGTCATAAATTTTTCTTCTTTTTTTAATTAGATTGAAACTTGTACTAACTCCCTCAGATCCAATGTTAAAAAAAAATATTTTATTATGTTAGTATTTGTATTGGAAAATGCATTGTTTAACAAAGATAAATTCATATTACAATTTATATTGCCTCTTCCGTTATGTAAAATATTATTGTAATAAAGATATATCAATACAAAAGACAAGATCTATGCCTATCAAATGAAGCAACAACAAGTCGGTGTAGCAAAACCAGAATAAATACAGTCACCAAAAGTGTATCGGAGAAACCCTTATGGTGGATTCACACAATCCTGGTAACATTTTTGGGGTCCGTAATTTGACGTACATTGAGAACCACAAACCCTTTTGCTGAAATGTGGACTGTTTGCTGCATGTACACAAAGTAACCACATTATAATATCATAATTGTATCTATATGTATTATCTATATACACATAAAATTATAATTAAAAATTAACGACAACACTAAATAAACATATACCTGAAGGCAAGGCGTGAGAACCGAAAAACAAAGAGGCTACCACTATTATTAAGAGAACTAAGCTCATGCAAGTCTTTGATATGGACATAATGTCTTGCAATTATAGTATCAAACTATGAAATCTGTTAAAATATATAAATGTTTTGAAATTGTATAGATCAGAAAGTAAAAAGCTATATTTGTTGAACATATCAGGTCTTGTGATTCATTGTTTTTTATCATTGATGGATGTATACAAATAAATATTTTGTTGACTGAAAAATATGTTTCTACAATTAAATAAAGACTACCAATTTCGCAGATATATAAATAATTTTACTACAGTTATATAAAGACTACCAATTTTGTAGAAATA